CGGAGGAAGGCTGGGGAGGATTTGTCTTATTAATCATGACAGCAAATGGTTGCCGTGAGTTGTATTGACGGCATCCATCCTGAGCACTTCTTGTGCTTGGAGCCGACATAATGCACGAGAACATTCCGCAAAACTTAACTATTCTCATTTTGGATCTCACCACCATCATCACTACACACCAGCCGAAGGCAATCAGCACACAGCTATTGTGCCGCAATATCAGAAATGATGCACGAAAAAGCGAGTTACCAAAAATTGGGAATGAAAAAACTAAAATGAAAACAAGTAACATAATGTTAGGTTTCATGTTCTCCATGAAGTAGGAGATCGTGCCTGTCGCAATGGGACTGGACCTTAACGTGGTGCGACGGTTTTCGTACCTCCTTGACCCATTGAGCTATACTGGGTGGTACCTCCGGTAGCCTTGAGAGCCACTTCTACCAGGTTGGTCAATGGTTAGCGCAGACAAAATCAGTATTCTGGTCCTCCAGGTTAGGGCTTTGTAAGGGGATGGCGTCAATTTCTGTAAAACTAAGTCAATGCCACCTCCCCGTTGCCTTGGCTGCAGGTATTTGAGCCAAGGGCTTTGAATGAGAACCCTAACCGTCCTTCGGTCTAGGTCTGGGCGCCCTGACAAAATCTCAGCCCACATACAACCATGATATTTTCTTCAAACCTAAACTTTATCCTGCATAGCCCGTCGTGCAAATTACCAAGGATCGCCTTATCTGCTGCATACAGCAGGGTGGGTAGGCAAAAACGTGCTACTGCTGGCGCTTCTCTTCTTTTATCCACCTGTTTCACTTACTCCTGTCCCTACCCCCATTACCAGCCTCCCTTCTATAATTCCCAGCTTAATTGACAGCAACTGAATTGCCACTGGAGTAGAAACATCTGCCGCCACCATCCCACAGCACCTATCGGAAGCCTATCAGCAAAAGTCCCTTATAAGGCCACGCTATCCCGTTTCCATGTCGACGTTCAACGTTCGCACTCTAAGACAAACTCGTCAACAGGCTGCACTTGCGCGCACCTTGGACGCACTAGGTATTGACGTGTGCTGTGTGTCCGAAACTAGGATCAATTACCCTACCGAGGTTATTGAATGAACGGCACCCAGCTTATCCTGTCGTTATGGGTTGCACACATCCGGAGACGCCGATGCAGCGCGCACGGACCAAGCTGGTGTAAGTAGCGTTCGAAGCTCCAAGGTTGATCCATCGTTGGCTGACTGGATTCCAATGAACAAACGTTTATGTGTAGCCTTTTTGACGACTTCAGCTAAGGTGGATTCACGAGGTAATACCAAACGCTGTTTTTTGTGATTTCCCTTTATGCGCCCACCAACTGCACTTTTAATGCCGTCAATACCACATTCTATCACAAACTGAACACGCGACTACGCAGTGCGACTAGTTCAGATATTATAGTGCCTGCAGGGGATATGAACGCACAAATAGGGCGTCTGATCTCTTCAGAAGCTTAGCTGGGTCGTAATTATGGGCTTAACTTCGCAACTTCAACTGTGTGCGGAGCAAAAGATGTTTCTTAGTAGCACTGCTTTTAGACACAGTGAGCGCCAAAGTGCCACTTGGCGTCCCCCTGTAGCTGGCCAGCGACGGACTCAAACTGAACACATCGCCAGAAGTTACAGGTGGCGTAGTTCCATCCTGGATTGCCCCTCATACTGGACTACCTGCGTCGACTCTGATCATGCCTTGTTACGCTGTCGTTTCTCCATGGGCTTTATCGGGGTGCGCACCAAGCGTCTACTCCGATTGGCAACTGCGAGATTGTCTCAGCCTTCGGTCAGACAAGCCTATCAAGACGCGCTGTGCACCGAACTTCCGCTCTCTTGTCCGAATGACACTGAGCTTTATTGGAATAGGATCTCGGCCGTCATACACGACGCAGGAGCATCTGCTTGTGGCACTATCAGTCATCATCGCACCAGTCACTGGATATCCGAGAGGTCAGTGAACCTGTTGGAATCCAGATGGAACCTCCCGGCTGGCTCTGAGCACAATGTGACCAGACGGACTGTTAGGCGCGAGCTAAAGCCGAGCCTGCGTGCTGATCTCAAGAAACCAGGCGTCAGTGAGACAATCATAAACAGTACGGCTGCTTTGATACCCAATAAGGAGCGCCGTATGGCTCCTTGGGCGGAACACTTTCAAGATCAGTTCAGCTGGCTCCCTACTCCCGGATCTCTTCCTACTTTGGTGATGTAGGACGAGCCATGGATGGTTAGTTTAGAGCCTTCTTCGGATGCCGAGGTCTCAAACGCGATCACAGCACGCAATCATTTTGGTGCCGTTAGCCCGGATTGCCTGCCATCTGCACTGTGCAAGGCTGGATGTGAGGTCCTCTTCAACGTACTGACCTCAATATTCGAACATATCTAGAAGGAAGAGAGTGTCCCGGCTGGCCTCCATTCTCGTTCTTCCCCTCACTGTGGAACGGGAATCTCGGATTAGGGAAGAGCAAACCGGTTTCCGCCCAGGGCGTGGCTGTATAAACCATTTATTCACTTTGCGGCAAGTGCTAGAGCAGCACCACGCATACAGCAGACCGACAATAGCTGTGTTCATTGATTTCAATAGTGCGTTCGATTCAGTCGATCGATGAATTCTGTTCGAAATACTTGCGCGGTAAGGTGTTCCCACGAAGTATGTGAACATCCTACGTGCTTTATACTCGAACAATACAGGCCGCGTCAGTGTCTACGGTGACTTATCAGATAGCCTTCCGACCACAAGTGGCGTTCGTCAGGGTTGTCCGATTTCCCCATTTTTGTTCAATTTCATCATGGATTCTCTCATGGAGTGTTCCCTTGCGGAATCTCACGATGTAGGTGTTGAAGTGCTGTCTGGTGAAACATTAGTTGATCTTGATTATGCGGACGATATCGTCTTGTTTTTCGACTATGTTGTGTCGGCACAATCAATCCTGATTAGCCTGTGCAGAGTGATCCCATTATTTGGTATGCACTTCGTACCTTCAAAGTGTAAAGTGTTGGTGCAGGACCACCAGCCACTTGATGACCCGTTGACGATATCTAACGAGGAACTCGAGGTGGTTGATCAATGCACTTATCTTGGCAGCTGCATCAGCAATGATGGGCGCATAGAAACTGAACTAGCTCCACGCATTTCCAAGGCCAGAGCTGCCTTCTTAAATCTGCGCAATCTGGCGACAGAAGGGAATTTCCCTCCGTCTGAAAGGTCGTGTATACAAGGCCACAGTGGAGGCCGTTCTGCTCTATTGTAATGAGATTTGGCCCCTTCGGTCTGAACATCTGAGGCGTCTTCAAGTCTTTGATCATCGTTGTCTGCGAAGCATTGCTGGAGTCGGATGGCACCAGCGTGTCCGCAACGATGATGTGCGTAGGCGAGTATTAGGTGGTGATAATCATGTCAGCTCCCTAGAACAACAGATAGCACTGAACAAGTTGCATTGGCTCGGGCACATGCTACGTATGCCTGGTCACCGCTTACCTAGGAGGGCTTTGTTTAGTCTGCCAGGTTTAGGGTGGCGAAAGGCTCGAGGTAGAAGGAAGTTGACTTGGCAGCGGGAAATGAAGTCACTGACGACCAAACTGGGTGCCGTCGGTACTTCTCGCCTTCCGGGCTGGAGTCCACGTGACTCGTCTTGTGTTTGGTTCGAGACTTTACGGAACATGGCTTGCAACTGACACCAGTAGCGCGTGTGCTGCCGTCTCCTAGTCGGAGTGCCTGTTTAAACTGTGTTTGGTGCTGAGTTATCTGCGGGGTAATGGTTGATTATGACGCGTGGCAGTGAAAGCCGCAAGGAAGCTGTCTCATCGATGACGCCTTATCTTTGCACCATGTCCAGCTGTTTGTGATTGTATGTTGTCTACACAGGGTGCAGGCGCCTTGACCCTGAATGTTTGCTGAGGGCATTAATGTTTTCAGCTAAGTTCCCCTTCTCTCCCTCTTATAATTCTTTATTCCTGAGGTCTACATGGTTGTATGGCAGCGAAGCATCAGTTCAGCTGACTAGACGAACAACCTCCTCGTGGAGCCCCCTGGGTGTTTCGGGCTTAGGCCGTTCCAGCAAATAGTTCGGCGGCAGTGTTCCAGGACGTGGTGGGTTTTCGCCTGGCAAGCCTTCTCCCTATAAAAGGCCACAAATATCTGCTTAAAAACACTGTGAGGTGGCGGTTTGGCCTCGCCACCAACTAAAATCACCCACTTGCTTATCCGGACAATCGCTTCAAGTTCACAAACATCAAGCGTCTCTTTAGGATTGGCGATAAGGTCAAAAGTGAAGGAAAATATACACAAATCCCATAAACACGGGCTACACACGCCTACATGCCCACATACATACAATCATGCATCAACATAAGTGGTAACCATATTGTTCCATTGCACATTAACTGAGCACAATTTTTGTACTCTTATCATGATCTTGCCTGTGCAGGTATTCTTCGCTCAGTCGAGAATAAACATTTTATCTATTTATTTATTTAAATGGCTGATGTACTGCTATTGTTGCTGATTGGGAAGATCGCGGTTGGACGGAGAAGCTAAAGGGTAGAGGGAGGAGCAAAGAAACTCACAACACAAAAGCCACTGTGGCCCGCTCTTTGCCATGTCAACTAGCGTATCCAACCATGCGCGTACATCGTCTTTGGGACCCCAGCCCCCCAGTCGGCAGAAGTCAACCAACGCGGTTCGAAATGCGGGTTTTCATTCCTCTTGACAAAGTCATCGCTTTTCCTCCCCTCCTCTTCTTCCACCTAGATTTTGGTCGCGCAAACAACGTGTGACCAAATAGTGTACAACTGCTTCACATGCTACAAGCCTTTAAATCAAATCACCCACCTTTCAATCTTTACCAGCGTGTTACACTGCCAAAAAGCACGCTTGCCTGCTATCCTATTCGCTGTGTGGCTCCTCATTACAAGCTTTTATGGTTTATCTGCGAATTCTATCTTATGAAATTCTAAACATGTCCACATTGTCACTTTTCAGGTGATTCTGGGGCTTCCTCGACTTCTACCGCGCATCTACGCTCGAAGAGCACCCCGGAAATAGAACACTTTCCTTCCTTGCGATACCCCATCGATTCGGGACAGTCGAGCCCGTTGGACGTGACATTTAGTTCCAATTACTACGAAAAGTATGAGTCTCGGGAGTACACTGAAAGAATTCGCTCATGTCTTTCACCATCAGTGCCTCAACCTGGTGAGCAATTTTTGGTGATTTTAAGGCATTTGCAACTTTATCACATATTGTTACTTTGGCCCACAACAATGAGGGGAAAACATCGAGAGATTGCTGTCTGAGATTGACCTGATAAACTAGAGATTTACTTTTTGCGATACCAAAGTTGGTGCTCAGCTAGCCTCTGAAATAAAGATCCGTTGGTGTACTACCAAAATGATTAGTGAACCCCGCCCTAACCAGTATTGTTGACCCTACAGCGGGGTACAGCTTTTGGACAATTAACCCAAGGAAAGCAGCTAGAGATCAATGTAACAGATCTGGTCAGTGAAAACAGTATGTTCGGTCCTCCGTCTACACGGCCTCGTTGATCGGCTGGTTCCTCATCCTTTCCTTAAAGGAGTAAAAAGTGGAACCTTATAGGTCCAAGACGTTGTCGTTATTGGAAGCAGCTTAACAAGATGTGTCGAGATGTTCGGTGAGTCTGATCTGCTTAATTTTCACTCATTTCGTTTAGTTTCTTAAACTATTGCCTCTGAGGAACCTGCTTTATGGCTGCAGATAGGACGAATTCATTCACGTTCCCACATTAGTCTACACAAGCGACTGACTCCAACGTGTGTAACTGTGTGAAGGGGCGAATCAGCGAACCTGGGATGGATATCATGCGATAAGCTCTAGGAACGCCACTAACGTTGTGACAGCGAATTACAGATAAAAAAGCTATTAATGCAGCGTAAGGAGAAGGTAAGTTCTTCTAAATACGATTCTGCTCATGTGTGATGAACGATGCTACAGAGCAAATCAATGGTGTTCTGACGTTTGCCCACCGCCAGTTATTGATCAGGCTGACCAGGGCTCTGAAGCGGAGAAATGTTCTTGAAACAGCTGGATGCATTGTTGCCGTTCGTTTCGTGTTTCTTCCTTATCGCACAGCAATAGCATATTTTTGATTTCCAAAAACACTCAGAACACTTGAGTAACTATCAGCTGTCAAGCTCTAGTCAGTCGTCCAAAAATTTAGGCGAGACTCCCCGGAGAACACCACTTTGTCTCCGCAATGGATGATGCGATTCCCCTCGCAACAGCGCTGTACACTTAATTGGGCGTCATCAGAAATGACCTTAATTGACGTAGTACGGCACTCGAGAGGAGAAGTAGCAGTGATTGTCGCCATACCTGCGCCTGCGTCTTCCTGTTGTTTCGGCAGAGCACCTGAGTGAATTGCACACGATGTATGGCAACTTTTTGCTTACTTTTAGCTACTCATGAGTAGTATGAAATAGAACGCCACTCCATTGTGAAACGACAGTTTGGGTTTCAGCGCATGCGCATCGTACAAGCGACCTGCTTTTGGTGCATTATTATTCGTTGTCTAAACATGCGTGGGAATTGGGGTAATGTGTGGGAGGCCAAAGCTAACCAGAATTTGGTAGGTTGAACCCTCCAGGACTCTTGCTCGGTAATTCCCACAGTTGAAGGCCGTCGCCTGACTAACAGTTTCTTATGCAGCAAAATTGAGAAGTCAGTGTAAAAGCGAGCAGGCGTGGGAGAAGTCAGCGAAAACATGGATGCAAATGTAAGACGCGTAGTGCACAGATAAACCACCACAGATATTTTGCCTATGAAGGTGCGCAGCAGAACGGAATCAGAGCGACTCCATGAAAGAAATGCGCAAATGGACCCGAATTTCTATGTTCGAACTGTCATGATACCGAGACGTAGGTTCTCGCTTGCCTCGTAGTGCGTGCTCTACAACTCTACTTCTAGTAGCATGTCAGCAGAGACCATCACCGACGCCCCTCATCGATTGCTGATTCCAGGTAACAGTCTATCTATGCTGGCAAGTTTGCTTCGGTGTTTGTGATAGTACTAAGCTCAATGAGCCCTTCTGTCATGAAAACGACTGCGGTGAAATCATCAGCTTGAATATTCCTGGTTTATATACTTCCCACCTGTGCGTGTACTTGAGCAAACGTTTGGTAATCATCAAATACGTACGAGATACGTGTTTTCCAATTGCCGGCAACCCGGAAAAGTGATCTAACGAGACCCGTACGGCTAACATCCCCAGTAGCCGCTTGAAAAACGTCCATCTAAGTAAATGCACGTTAAGTATGTTACTGAAAGTTGATTATACTGATATCAAGCGGGTAGCTGTGAATGCTTTGGACACAAAATTTTAGGTACAAAATTGGTTTCGCTGCAACATTGTACTAAAGATGGAAACTGATACACTGGCACATTCTCTCACGCTACAACTGCAGAGAAACGACGCAGTTCACCAATTCGACTTGTCAATTTCGTATATAACTTGGAGAAGGTCATCTCAAACTTCACAGGTTTCTTCCGATGAGCTCAACAACCATCCCTAGTGCATAAAGTATAAGAGAAAATTCCACTAACTTGTTACCTCGACGAAGCGTTGAAAAAGGACAGCCACGTATTGTATTCAGCTTACCCATGGTTACCACAAAGAGTTACTGGCAAAGTTTTTAAATCTGTTGGACAGATGGCTGTCGTCGCGAAGGAAGAGCACTCCGTGCCCACCTTAGGGGAGCTCGTATATTTGACTTCCCTTGATGGTCGGTAAAGAAACGTTGTCACAAAACCCAGATAGCTTTGTTGTATCGAGTTAACAACAAACTATGTGTTACAACGCGTAAAAGAGATATTTCTTGACAAGTCGCGCAGCATGACCGGAGAGATGATTATAAGACTAATGGTAATAAGATGACAGTATAATGGCAGGGAAGATTCGTATTCTAAGAGATACACTAAGCTATTCACATGAACACTGATACTGGGTTCTTCACCGCTGTGTTACCGAGAGGACTAGTGGGCACGTTGTTTGGTACACTTTATTTCATCCTCCTGGTAAAACAGACTATATCACGTAATGTGAGATAGTGTGTCGTCAAGACGCTCCTTTAAAAACGTTAAGGTTGAGGCCAAAATGACTTGGATTGGAAGGGTTCCATGTTCTGGATACCCGAGGGAGAAAAGGTGTTGTCGACAATCAAGTCAACTGTCGTCCATAGCCAGTTTGAGCTGGTGACCTCGCAGTTTGGTACTGTGGCTGAGTTGCAGCAAGTCGCGACAGGCGTGCTTTAGGTTTATTAGTATTAGGTAAACCATGACGAGATCTCCCCGCTGACACCAATATCCACCGCTGTAACAGCCCGGAGCTTGTAGCCTATGTTGGCAGGGGAGGTGATACAAACCCATAACGTGGTTGGCCGTTCTGGGTTGCTGCGATTCAACAGCACCGATATCGTGCTTGCCAGACTTGGCTCACGTATTCCATGAAGAGCCTCATGGTTACTCTTCATTAAGTGGTTGTTTCTCAATCTATCGTTGTGACCTTGAACCAATCTGCCTGCTAATCGCTCCTCTGTGAACGTGTTGTTTTGTCACGCTTGCTGTGCTGCATTTGGTCACAAAAACGTGTGTTCGCATACACTCGACCCAGCTTCATCAGCACTATCTAATACACTCCAGCTTCCTGATCTAGCATGTGAGGCTCGCCTTTTATTTCCCCATTGCCGCTTTCGCACCATCCCCGCAGAAACACACCCGAGGAATTTTCCGAATCACAAACCACACAGCAATATTCGTGGTCTCAAACGAGAGCCGACTCCACGTTTTATCCGACGAGTCAGAAAACACAGCTGTGGACTGTTCATCAAAGTGGCTATCGTACACCTTGTGTCCGTATTGCTCAGTCGCTCCGTTTGCCGTGTGAACCATCTAGTCTCTTAAGTCTGCCCCAGCCAGACACCAAGAAGTCGACGACCTTGAGCCTGCAGACAACTCAGCCCACTTGCGACCCGTAGGAAACCATAAGCACTCAGGCCTTGCTCGATCGACACAAGGGATATTGGCAACTAATCAAGAACCCAGGTTACCGCCTCCAGCTCAACAGTACGTTGCGCTCTTCCTTCCTGCCATAAAATTGTACGAATTGGAATCCAGTGTAACAGTTGCGAAGGCAACTTCCACCGCAAATGTCCCAAGCTCACAGTGAACCAGTTGAAGCTACACAATAGTAAACCAGATGAACTGTGGCTCTGTTCAGTACATATAGTCAACAAACTGGTAAAGATCGTACATGAACTATAGTATAAGTACGAAAAACTGTTAGTAATGACTGAACAAATGAAGTGCACCAAAAGCCATCCGTTTGAAGAAAGCGTGCTTGAGAGTAAATCCCAGTCATTCCCAACAGACCCCGCATTAAAACTGAGAAAGAAGGCTAGGCAGCACACTAAAGATGCACCATCCGTGGCTTTAAATTTCAGTGCCACCAGTTGATCGAATGTGTCTGAAAGGATCACCTCCAGTCCGATTGCAATGAGCACGGTCGGGGTCTCGTCCACTCTCCCTACGGTTCCGACAATGCAGAAGTACTTCGACACTAGTGGTGGTTGGAACTTGGTCGCTGCCAATGTTGACCGGAGACTTACACCTTCGGCCACTCACACTGGACCCAGATTAAATGAAGAAGACGAAGCTGTACCCACATAACCTCGATGGGCTGTATAAGGACCTCATCGTGTAACTCAACCCGAGTAGCAAGTAGCATACCAGCAGCAATCCGCACCAACGTTCCAGAATCGACGTCAAATTCCTAAAAACGAAAACAACTTGATGACCTGAAGCAGTGGAACTGCGTATGTGACATTATAAATGTTGTAGCTAAGCCCGTCAATTTGACACGCCTTACTCGTCACCTATACTCACAGCAATACAGTAAACCAGGACCTCCGAGTTGTGTTGACTTCCACTAATGAAGCGGAAACTGTTCTGGTATCGACTGCTCGCCTCCGGAATGGGTCATGGTCTATTCGCCTATTTCTGGATATTCGGTGCGGCGCACGCAGACAGCCGAATCACTACTTGAACGAAAACCGGGAGGAATCCGTAGGCAGAAACATTTTTGTACACAGCGTTCCTGAGGATGAGTCATGCTAAGCGTGTAGCGCCCATTCATGACCAGGAACAATGGCGATACATTCGCG